GGCGGCAGCCGCCCCAAATTTTTGAAAAATATCAAATGTAATATGTATTTTTGTTTTTTAAATTTAAATAATGGACACCATTTAAATATAAAAAAAGAAAATTATTTAGGGCATAAGATAAGATTTGGAAGAATAAATATTAATATTTAATTTATTAATTATTTAATTAAATTTATTTATATAATGATAATTTTAAAATTAATATTAATTATTATATTTTTTATATAATAAAAATAGATAAATATTTTATAATTTATACTGTTTTTATTATGAAACGACATATTTATAAATATAATAATAAAATGTATAATAATAAAATATGTGAACCGGTGGTCACGAGACGAGCAGTACCGATCCAAATGCTGACGTTAATCTCTGACGTAATCCATGCTGACGTTAGTCTCTGCGCACTCCTGACGACAAATAATAATAGGAAAAAACCTTCTTAAGCCCCCATATTTACCCCAAAATAACATGTAAACCCCCTTAAACTAAAAATAAGGCAGATAAACCCTCCAACTCCACTAACGATGCAAATAAGTCCTTCTCACGAATGAGCCAAATGGTATTTGTTGTTTAATATCACCTTGAAAGCATGAACATCTATGAATAAGAAAGGTTTATTTGTATCATTAGTGAAGTTGAAGAGTTTATCTACTTCAGTTTTAGTTTAGGAGTTTAAATATTATTTTGGAATAAATTTAAAGGTTTAAGAAGAGTTTTTGCCATAATAATAACAACTTCTATACGTACCCAAAAATAAAATATAATACTAACAACTTTTATATGTTCCCAAAAAAAAAAAAACAATAATACTAACAAGTTACAACTTCTATTTATATGGGATTCAGCTTCTTCTCTTTCTCATCAAGGTTTTCTTCTCGACAAACCCTTTTATGACTAGTCATTGTCAAAAAAAACCTAAAATTATAGAGATGTAAGAGGTGCATTTAAACATTTTGTTATAAACTAACCAAATTCAATAGGCAAACCTTTGGATTTCCCATATAAACTCAATCAAGACTAATGAACTGAGTCTTACCGAAGGAACCTTTGTCTCTAATTTTGTTATAAATTGAATATTAGAATGGTACAACTAATATGCATTTAGAAGTTTATTTATATTCTAATAAATTAAAACAAAGGTGATACGCAAATACAAATATTCATGTGGTGGGCATCATCTAGCTAAACCCAAGACCACTTAACCTTTCTAAAATCTCAATTATTTTAGCAAATGATCCAATGCCCTAAAAGCTATAGGTTAGACCTTTGTCATACTACTCTAACCTACAAACCCAATACATGGTCAATACTCTATGTGCTTGTTTTATGAAATAAAATCAGCATACGTTATAAGAAAGCTCCACTGAAACTAATCTCAAAACAAAATAAAAATAAAAATAAAAATAAATAAATACCCTGTCTTTTAGGTCCTTTAGAGAATCAACCACTTTGGCACTACTAGCTAACTTGACATGAATTTCATTAGATTGAACAAGGCTATCCCATAGATTATAGGCACAAATCATTTACACTTATTTGATTCATCTAGCTTCTTCAAATTCTAGGGCAGTTGGCACTAACATCTCAGCACAGAGAATTACGTCTTCAATCTTTCCAATGAAAACAAACCTAAACCATTTGAATTAACATATCCAATTTCAAGTGAGAAAGGATGACAAAGATGTAAGAGATTTGAAAAGATAAACAATAGCTGAAAAAGAATATAACAACAATGAAAACTAGCAACAAGAAGGTTGCCACATTACTGAGAGCCAATGCCGAAAGAACGTGTTTCAAATTCATATTTTCATGAAAAAATGGAACATTTCATTTCATCCCATCCTAGTTAGAATGAAATTAACAAATTTGTTTCTAACAATATGGCATAGACCAAAACCATGAAAAATGAGCACCAATAGAGCTTGCACAAAATATAACGCAGATATGAACTCATCAATGAATAAAATCTATGCAACTTTAAGCAAACTCTAGGTAGTTCTAGGATTAAAAACAATCTCATATTTATGTGTACTTAGCTTATAAGGATCTCCATTCAAAGAAACACCAAAATTTGAAATTGTATAAACCCCTCCTTCACCAAAAGCATCCTTAAAACGCAAAAAAGCCATAAGAATTGCTTAAATCCTCCCCCTGAACAAAAGATGTAAAAGTGCTAAAAGATATTTTCAAAAACAAACTTTGGAATACCTAATGAAAAGCTAAATTCAAAAACACAAAATACTTGCCTGTTCATTCAAAAGAAAAATTAAATATTATAACCCAATTTTGGCTACCAAAAATTCTTCTACTTCCAAAGCATAATTACTCTAACCTTTGTCCTCCATTGCTATTTAAAATGATTAAGATCTTTAATAAAATTGAACATCTTAGCCATTAGGATCTATATGCTTTTTGTTATACTAAAAAACAAAAAGACTGGTATAACATAGAAAAATAAGAGTGCATTTATTGCATCTTTTTATTATAAATATACATAGAAAAATGTAAAAGCTAATATTAATTTTAGTGTCAAATAAATTTAATTAGACAGCTAATAAATTAAAGGTTAACTTTTATTTTTTCAATACAAATTTATGATAAAAATGTATACTTAATACACTTTTAACTTTTGCCCTAAAAGGCACAAGTCAGACAAACCCTAACATTATATATGCATGCAAAAGAAACCCTTCAAATGACCAATATTTATTGGATAAATTATGAAAAAGAATGGAGAAAATAAAGTCTGTAGAATTCGAAATTAGGATATGAATGTAAATTTTCAACACATTGGAAATATAAAACAAAAGTCAAACCTTTAATAATATAATAAGCAAACTAATAGTTTTATTAGTTTGCAACAGACAAAAAAATTTGGAAATACGGTAGACAATAACTAGTTGAATACATCAGACCAAATATTGGAATGCATCAAAATATAAATAGGATATGTAGAAACAAATCAATAATAAATATAAATATTTTGAATTTAATGAAAAAGTAGTAAAAAACCCATTAGTTGATGGTTTGAAATAATTTTTTCATGCACCACATATTTACTATTTTCAAGTTAAATCTATAAAAAAATACAAAATATTGCAAATCATTTAATAAAGATCTCCACTACAACCTAAAAATTACAAAGGATTAAATATACAAACAATTCTATATATTAAATATCAAAATGCATCCAATTCTAAAACACATTCACGAGCATAACAAATTGGGAATTAGCAAAATAAACTCTAAAATTTCAAGAAATTAAGATAAAGCAACAATCCATCTAGACAAACTAAGAATATAACATAAGAAATCAATAAACTACAATAAATCGAAATAGATTAAGGGGGAAAAAATACAAAACTTACCAAGATGAGATTGAAGAGTGTGGCTTGATCAACCTTGACAAAGTCGGCATCTTAGGCCTTGAGCTCATCGTCCCCACAAGTAGCACGATCATCAGACTTGAGAGCCTGCATGTGCTTCTTGTAGTATTCAATCACCTTGGATAAGATACGGATTTTCAGTCAGTTGTCCAAACCAAAAATTGTTAGATCCAGCATACAAGGGGTCCGACGCCCATGTGATTTGGTGAGGCTGGGGGTTCCGAGGGAGAGAAGATGGCATTTTAGTTTGTCAAATCCAAGTACATATCAATTTCTAATGAAAAAGAAATAATAAAAAGAAAGATACAGAAAATACCCTCATTTCATGAAGATCAACACTTGATGATTTGTTAGATTTGGTATGCAAGGGGTCCAATGGCCATGGGTTTTGGTGAGGAAGGGGGTTCAGTTGCAATGAGGGAGAGAATCAATTTGTGGGGGAGAAGTGGAAAAGATGAGCTTCTACACACTTTTTTTGGTAAAATGATGCAAAGCCTACATAATTTTTTCTTTCTTTTAGTAAACATAAAAAATAAAAAATAAAAAGAGAAGCACAAAGATTTTTATTTTTAAATTCAATTTTACATAAACAAGATGCTATGAATATTTTGGGTTGCAATTTTAGTTAAATATCCAATTTGGGGAGAAAAGATGGGGTTTCAGTTTTGATTAAATACTTGATTTGGTTCTTGAACTTTTATTTTTAAAATAAATATATCCTTAAACTTTAAAAAGTATTAAAAATATCTTCAAACTTTAATTTTTGGTATCAACTTAATCTTTCCATCAATTGAAGTTCCATGTGTCACATGAACTTGCCACAAAATTGACCCTTTTTTAAAATTTTAAAATTTTAATGACATAAAATAAAACATTTATTTTTTTGCCACCATGGCACCTCTACATCAGTTTTCATTTAATAAATAATTTTAACAAAAAATATCTTTATCTTTCTCTCTCCTCCATCTTATTCCCTAGTTACTCTTCTTCTCCAATTACTATTTCCTCTCCTCCCATGAACTAATCAAGTAATTAATCAAGTAAATATAGAAATCTATAACAATCCCCTACAAGAACAAATAGATTACAAGAACTAAAAAAATATAAATTTAAATGAAAATAAAAGCTCATTTCCTGTTCATTTTCCTACACTTTCTAAGCAAGCAACAACCCATAAAAATGGAAACAATGACCCAAAGGATGGATATGTTGCTGAGTTAAAGCCAAGTCGCTATGGATTAGTAAAAATCAAACTAAAGCCAAAGGCTAATGAACTGGGCACCAACAATTTATATAACTTCTTTTTTTTTCTAAAATTTCAAATAATTCTAGTTCTTGTAAATACCCAATAAAATTTAAAAAGAAAAAAGAAAAAAAAGAAGAAGAGGAATTCAATATTGATATGGTTCAAATTTAAAGCTATAGAAGCATGGAAAGTGAGATTACCTTCAAATCTAAAGCGATATGGATTTAGGAACAAATTTGGAGAGCCTTCTAAGGAATGGGCCACCAGGTGGGAGAAGTGAAAAGGATGAGCTTCTACACACTTTTTGGTAAAATGATGCAAAGCTTACATAATTTTTTCTTTGTTTTTACCAAAAATTAAAAAAGAAAAAAAGAAAAAAAAAGAAAGGCTAAAAGATATTTTTCTTCCAACTAAATTCCACGTAAACAGAACGTTACGTGAAAATTGTGCATGTGAGCTCAACACAAGACTTACATCTAAATTAAAACTAATTGGCAATAGATGAAGTATCCTTCCTTGTATTTAACCCACAAGTTTCTTTGTTATACATTCGATGTGGGATTTTCCTACACGTGTAGGCTCGAGTCCTATCAGGTGGGTTAACAATGGGCTTTACAAGACAAAATCTCGGCTTTGATACCATGTGAATTTGTGCATGTGGGCTCAACACAAGACTTACATCCAACCTAAAACCAATTGACAATAGATGAAGTAGTCTTCCTTGTATTTAACCCACAAGCTTTTTCATCTTACACTCAATATGGGATTTTCTCACTCAACATGCCCCTTCACGTGCAAACCTGCTATGAATGTCGGGTCTTGTCTTGTCACGTCACTTAACATGCCCCCTTACATGCAGGCCCAGTATAAATTTCAACTTCGGGTCCTATCAGGTGGGCTAACAATGAGCTTCCTGGGATAAAATCTGGGCTCGATACCACATGAAAGTTGTGTATGTGGGCTCAACATAAGACTTGTATCCAACCTAAAACTAATTGGCAATAGATGGAGTAGCCTTCCTTGTATTTAACCCACAAGTTTCTTTGTTATACATTCATGTGGGATTTTCCCACTTGACATGCCTCTTCATGTGCAGGCCCGCTATGAATGTCAAGTCCTATCACATGGCTTAACACGCCCCTTTACATGTAAGCCCAGTATCAACTTTAACTTTGGATCATGTTAGGTGGGTTAACAATGGGTTTCATAGAACAAAATCTAAGCTCTTACACCATGTGAAAATTGTGCATGTGGGCTCAACACAAACCTTGCATCGAACCTAAAACCAATTGACAATATATGCAGTAACTTTCTTTGTATTTAACCCACAAGCTTTTCATTTTACATTCGATGTGAGATTTTCCCACTCTACACGTTATGAATATTTTTAATAGGAATTTGAGAAATGAGTAATATAATAATAATTGAATTGAATTAAATAAAAAATAGTTAGGTGAAGTGTTGAAAGGAGTGTTTGAATTGGTTTCAATTTAGTTTAGATCTAGTTCAGGGGTTTAAAAAATAAAGTTATATAGTTTATAAGTACGAATAAGTGTGAACATATATTGTGAACATATATTGTGAACAAAAAAAAAAGTTAGGTATAATGTGAAAAAAAGAGTGTTTGAACTGATTCCAATCTAGTTTGGATCCAATTCAGTGGTTTAAAGAATAAATTTATATAATTTATAAGTGTGAACACACAGTGTGAATACAAAAGGATTCTTTTGGTTTGTTTTAATAATATATATATGTATATATATGTATATATATCTTTAGATTTAGCATTTAATGCAAATCCTTATCAAAGGCATGCCTACCAGTGACTGAACTTTCAAATTACAAACAAATCCTATCTATTTTATTGCACTAAGTAGAATCCAAACTTCAAACTAAGCTCTATGTGCTTCACATTATTTAGGTTTCTCTGCTCAAGTGATCCTGGTCTAGAACTTCTGAAAATTCCAATCATCATATTATATCTTCTCTTTGTTTTTCCTCTTTAAAAAGAAAGAAACCAAAAATTCCAACTTGCTTTTGTTCTGTTTTCCCCTTTCATCACTGTCTTTCAATCAAACAAAACAAAGAGCAGCAAGTGAAGCCATAATGGAGATCGGAAAAGTCATGGAAAGCACAGAAGAGGGTTCTTTCTCTTCATCAAATATGAGGCAGAGAAATGTTTCCTCACCAGCAAGATCTCCTGTGGCTAAGAAGATTGCAAATCCAGACATACACACCCCTCAGGAAACTAAAGAAAAATCAAACGAACAAGTCTCAACACTTCCGGTAATTAAAAACCGGAGTAAGTGGACAACTCGAATCATAGTTGAGTGGATTGTATTTGTTTGTTTGTCAGGATGTCTTATTGCTAGCTTAACTGTACATATATTTAAAAACCATGTGATTTGGGGTTTGGAATTATGGAAATGGTGTATGCTAGTTCTGGTTTCTTTTTGCAGTGGAATTTTCACTAGAGGGATGATGAATGTTGTTGTCTTTCTGATGAGGGGGAAGTTTGCTCAAAAGGAGATGGTTATATATGTTGTTTATGGACTAAGGAAGAGTGTTAGGTTTTTTGTGTGGCTGAGTTTGGTTCTTCTCACTTGGGTTCTATTGTTTGATAGTGGGGTTAAGAGACCAAAGAAAACCACAAGGATTCTAAACTATATTACGAAGACTCTATCCTCTTCTCTTTTTGGGGCATTTTTATGGCTGTTTAAAACTACTGTTGTGAAACTATTAGCTATTAAGTTCCAGGGCAAAAGATTCTTTGACGAAATTCAAAAAGCAATCCTTCAACAGCATATAGTTGACATGCTCAAGACCTTACAGGACCAACGTGATACAGTATTCATTGTCAGGTGGATTTCCAAATTTCCAAATTGGTTAAGGGAAATGATGACCTCTGCATGGACGATGGAAGGGATAGATGTCATAAGAGGTTCAAGGTTGAATATTCCGCCTTCAGGTGAAATTTTTGACAAAATTATAGAACATCCGAAGATTGAAGATCAGAAGACTGATAACAAGTAAGTTTGTTCTCCTGTAATCTTGTCTTATTTGATTACTATAGCTTGTTCTGTAAATAATTTTGTTGTTTGTCTTTATGTTTAGATTGACTAGTGCAGTTGAAAACGGGGATCCTGAAGGTGGCCAGAAAGAAAAAGTGGAGCGTATTGACAAGAAGCGCCTCTTATCTTTCTTTGAACAAGATAATGAAGCTAAGGAAGTTCTTGAAAAATGGTTTAAAGATGTTGAATCAAGTGAAGGGATCATCAACAAATCAGCTTTTCAGAAGTGGCTGGCAAGTTCTTAATTTTCAATTATTCTAAGCTAGTGGAAAATAATTGATTTGAGGTAGTATGGTGTCCTTCCAAATTAAACAATGAAATTAATTTTTTGTTATGCAAGGAAAAAGTGTACAATTCATTAATGAATACTGATTGAACAGGTGCAGAAAAAGGTTACTGGAATCAAATAAAATGAAGAAGTTCAAAAGAGAAAGAATGATGTCAACAGCTGTGTCAATTAATTAATTCACAGAAAAAGAAAAATACTTTGCTTTTCTAATTTCTAACACAGATCAGTTATGAAAATTTTGCAGGAAGATGTCTGCAGTGAACGTGATAAACTAGCATCTAGGTTGAATGATTACAAAACAGCCATAGAAGAGCTCGACAGGCTTCTCTCTGCGATCATGTTTGTAGTTATCATTATTGTCTGGTTACTTATGATGGGAATTTTAAAAACAAGAGCACTTCTCTTGATTTGTTCTCAACTTGTGCTAGCGGCATTCATGTTTGGTAACTCTCTGAGGACCGTATTTGAGGCCATCATATTTGTATTTGTGATTCATCCTTTTGATGTCAGTGATCGTTGTATCATAGATGGAGTACAGGTGAATTACTAAACCTATAACTTACATGCTTCTATACAATCAGAAGATCAATTGCTTGATGTATTAATTATATTTTACAGATGGTTGTTGAAGAGATGAATCTCCTGACAACAGTCTTTGAAAGATATGATAATGAGAAAATATACTATCCAAATTCAGTTCTGGCTACAAAACCCATCACCAACTTTTATAGGAGTGAAAAGTTTATTGGTGATACTGTAGAGTTTGCCATCGATGTTTCCACCCCAGCAGCCCTAATTAGAAATCTTCAAAAAGAAATTGAAAGGTATGTTATATACTTCCTCATGAAAAAAATCTTGTTCAAATTTTAACATTATGTACTCTCTGTTTTGATATTACTCACAGCTACATGAGTACGAGCACGGATTGGAATAAAAAACCAGAACCCCGCGTGTTCGTTAAGGACTTTGATGATGCAAATGGGATCAAAATGATTATCTATTTTGATCACGGTGCAAACTTCCAGAAATATCTGGATATTAGGAACAAACAGAGATCTGAGTTGATCTTAAATCTGAAAGAAATTATGGAACGACTTGAAATCAAATATCACATTGTGTCTGTCCGTGCAATTGAAAAAAAGTTGGCATGAGCTTCTGCTCGATTGTTGTCCTTTTTTTTTTGGGGGGTACATGTTGTCCTTTTCTTTTTGTTTCCGTAGAAGTTCTACTTTCTTTGTTTGGAAATATTTGCTGTAATTTCATCAGTACTCACTCCCCTGTTATTCACTCTTAAAACTTTGATGATGGTTGAGTCAATTGTAGTCCTCAGACTCCCTGTTCTAGTGATTTGATTTTTCTTTCATTTTTGCTTTTGAAATGGTATTAGTAATTTGTATCTTAAAATTATATTAAATTACCTAAGCAAATTCAAAAGGAAATACTCCACTATTTCGTATTTGCCTACAAATTACCTTTTTTTTTAACTAACGGGAATTTTAGGGAGAAAGAGAAATATAATAGCTGATTTAATAAGAACTTAAATTTTATTATAAATTAAAG